ACGGGGGGGGGGGGGGGGGGGGGGGGGGGGGAACTCCCAGAAAAATTTGGTGGGGTTGTGCGGCCCGCTTCCCACCTTACCCAATTTATGACGAAAATTTCCGATTCTCCCAACCCTATTTATGACCAGACCAAAAATTCGATGCCCTGTTTATGACCGTTACGGCTGACACAGTTGCCCTAAACATAATTTTTGTAGGGCTTTTGTTTATGGTCTTATCGATAATGATGAAAGAGTAGCTTCTTCTTAAAAACATACCCAATTCAAGACTAGAGTGCTAAAACCATACCCTATTTAAGACCAGAATGGCCAAATGGATACCTTATTTATGACCAAAACGGCTGAAAACCCATACCCTTTGTGGCCTCACATACCTATATAGCCTATACAAAGAAGTAGCCCAGCCTCCGGGGGTCATATTCAGTTGGTTCACTTCTTATTTTAGAAAGTACCCTTCTACCTCCCCGACCCTCGGCCCCCACCCCTCCTGTGCCTATATTCACTACGGAGGGTCGACACAAGCCAAGGAGGCTAAGGTTGCTACAAAGAAAATCAGCAAGGGCAAGACTTCATCTGGGCAGGGATCAAAATTTGTCCCCAAGATTGAATGCCCTTGGGGAACCGGGAGGGGTAGTTTGGTGAAAACTGGTAGTGCTAAAAAGCCACCCCATTTTTGCTTAGGTTGATTTTTTTAGGGCTCCAGATGGCAGGGATAATGCACAAATTTTGCCACTTGAAAGTAAGAGTGGAACAGTCACCCCTAATGCTTGTTTGTCTTGGCTAGACTTTTTATCCCTGCAGTCCCTGTATGTGACCATGCAACTGATAATTATCTTCCCTTGGGATAGCAAAACAGTCATTACTGAATACCAAACATTTTGTACATTTATTCGCTTTTAGCATACAAGACTTATCACAATTCTGTGGACAACAGGTAAAATAACACTTTCTTGATCCTTGTTTATCTACAAGCCACATACCACAGAGGAAGAATTCACAGTAAACTACTCAAAATCCTTTACCCCTAGACTGATCAGCATCAAAGTTCTCCTCAAAGTGTTGATAAAACAACTGGGGTAGATACAGGATTTTAGGGGGTCCAGGGGCTTCCTCCCCTGGAAAATGTACAATTGAGGTCTTCAAAAATAGGATTTCCAGCATTCTGGGGCCTAGTCAGCATGTATTAGTCTCATCTTTCTCAATTTAGGCCCCCCTAGATCTGCCCAAAACAATAATGAAGAGTATGTCCTAAAACTATCCAATGTTGCAGAATTCTTCCATATATGCATGTATTGAACAGAAAGGAGAATTTCTACGTTTATGAGTCCATGGCTTCTAGGGTATTACTGGTAACTACATCTGATTCAAGATTTCTGGAGCTATCTCATTGCTTGAACCAATATCACTACTCGGGCATAACATAACATAATACTTAGCTACACGTACATACAGTCATTTTCTTCAAAAAATTCAAAATATAACCTATCACATGTGATGTTTACATAAAGGTTTTTCAAGAATCACATTTTCAAACTTTTCAGAGTTTTGGCTGGGCTCACATATAGCAGTGTTTGGGATCATCACTTGAAGTGAAGAGCATGAAAATGTGTGGTTCCAGAAAGCATCCCTACCCACTCTAGATGGCATTCTGAAATTCTAATGGGGGTGGGAGAGTCTCAAAATCCAACTGAACTGCGATTTACGCAGGGTGGGTGGGTATTTAATCAAGATATTCCTCTCTGGTGGGGTACGGATATTTTCTGGAGCAATACAACGTGAAGCAGTGCCAGGAATGAGATCGAGGCAGTCAAAATAATGGAGGTTTTCTGGTTAAGTATGATGTTTACAGCAATTGACGAAAATTACATCTGATCTTTTTGTGTTCTTTTCTTCTAATCCTTAAATCACATAAAAATAAAACCTTGATCAATACGTTAAAACCTCTTGTATTATTCCATGCAAATAAAAATATTTTTGCTCGCCTGTGTTCAGCTGCCCCCTCCCCTCCCTGATTTTTTTGAGGGGAGCAGGCAGCTGTACACAGGCTACAAACAGCTGAAGACAGACAGCAAAAATGTTTGTCATTTGCCATTTGTCGTAAATGTCACACTTAACCTTTCTAATGATTTACAGTGATGGACTTTCACAACATGGACTGGTAAAAAATTGACTGTTTTTCCTTCAGAATCAGCCAGTCTGCAAGCTTACCCAGAACATACTGCTTTGTACTGTTATGGAACTTAACACATTCCCACAGAAAAATGGATAAGTTTTCACAATGGATGTTATCAATGTATACACTTTTCCAGAAGGTTCATGAATTTGCATTCATTTCATAGTCAAATCAAATTCACCTAACCTGACAGAGGACTTGCAATTGCATAGAAGTGATGATTACATCAATCTTTTAAGTTATTTTGGGTCTATTTAATAGGAACTCTTAATACACAGTTCTGTTACTCAGTACAGAATATTTTTCATTGAAATCCAGTTTTCTTTGTATCCATCTAATATTGCTTTATTAAAAATACACAAAACAGACTGCAAAACAACTACATTATGACCATGACTTTCGGCTATCTTGACCTAAATCTGTACATGAATCTATGTTTCTGATGTTTCCACAAAACTAGTACAATTACTGGATAAGGTTTAAATAAATTCACATTAAGCATCCTAAAATAATATTTCTTACCCTTTAATGCTAAATTATAATAATGCAAAAATTTATTACAGTTAGAGACACTTTTCTCAATAATTCTCCTTAGAAAATTTTATCGATCTGATTTCTGGTTCTAAGATTATTAACCTGTTTTGGTGAATAAGAAACAGTTCACCCAGCTGCAAATAATCTTCAGTCATTACACCATTTAGATAAATGACACTTACCATAAAGGAGAATTTAGCAGCAAAACAATTATTGCTTCAAAAATGGCAAATTGAATGTACTTGACACATGGGAAATAAAAAAAAGGTCTAATACAGTATTACAATTATATTAGTCTTTACATGCTACAACTGGGGGAGGCACAAACGCAAACTAAAAAGAACATTGTTGATGTTAAACAAAACAATGGAAGCAACAAAGCCACTATAAAAAAGAAAAAAAATTCTCCCTTCAATGTAACCAGGATTGGTGCCAGCTCTGTTGTCTGCCTTAGCAGGTCTCTGACTTGGAGAGAGACATTGATGACTGAACTATGATTTGCAGTGATTATCTACTACACATGCCCGGACATGCATGTACAGCGTCCTTCCAGTTAAAACTAAGCTACTAACTACGATGCCTATCTATTTACATGCACCCCAGTTCTGAGTATGGTAATCATGATTCGATACAATTCTAAGAAATGATGGCTGACATTGTTAAGCCCTTAGATTAGGATGTTCAACCAAGTTTGATGTCGAGCTGGACTGATCTTCTCTTTCCCAGTTCACTTCTGCACTTACATGAAGCACACGACCAGATCCAGAAACACTGGAGCTCTCTGCATAAAGACAGCAAAAACCTTTCATCATTTCACTGCTTTTAGCTATTACTTAAGAGACTAAACACCACAGAGGACTGTAAATTTCCCCTTTCTGAGATTCATACTCAGGCCATTGCCTATTGACCATTAGTAGCCACCCAGCTGTGTTCTATCAGAAATGTGTGAATCTGATTGGTTCTCTTGTTGTTTTCTATTCACCGATAGACAACAACTGCTTACACAAACTGAAAATTACTCTTAAATTTAGACTTAACAATACACAAAATTGTACGTTTTTTACTCTCGTTTTCCGTAAGTGAGAGTCGACTCAGCTATACCTCATTGACTAATCACTCATAAAAAACTTGGGCTTGTAGTCTCATTGTTAATCATCCACATTTCTAAGCTCCTAGTGTTGTCAAATAATTTTGAACCCAGACTTTAATTTATAGAGGATGGAGGAAGAGGCAACATCCATTGGTGATACAGTAGTATCACAACTGTTGATACTAGTCAAGAGTCTTCCAGGTTTCACTCTTCTGTAAACAAGACCAAAAAATGGGGTGAAGACTAAATGCAAAGTTGGTAAAACCGATTTTTTTTCCATTAATTTTTACAGAATTTCTGTAATTTTAATTTTAATTTTAATTCTTGTTGTTACTTTTTCCAGAAACCATTCCAGGAAACTGCCCATTTCCAAAAGTTGCAGAACTTTCTGTCGAAAGGAAAATGCCCTAGTTACCAAAGGTTGCACAAAGCAGCGTTAAACATCAGCCTGATGACACACGACTATGATTAGATTAGAAGCAGATATAAATTATACCTGAAGTGTCGGAGCTTGGCCTCCTTTCACTGACAGAGGGTTCAATTTCATTCATGACCACACCAGGATTATCAGCCGAAGTGTGATGGTCTTCCTCTGGAATCTCAGAAGTTCCAACCTCCACATCCTGAGTGCGACATTCATCACTGGCCTGAAGAAGAAGGTAAAACATTACATCAAATGTTATATGACTTGTGCATTGTTATGTGCTAAATACAGTTGACCCTCGATTATCCAGACGTCAATTATCCAGACTTTTCGATTATCCAGACTTACTTTTGTCCCGATTTTTTCACAAATATAAATAAGATGTGATCTTGAAAAATTGAAGCGATGAAAAGTTCATAAATCCTTCCAAAAGTGTGTTTTAACTCTGGGTTTTAATCTGTTTCACTTTCAAAAGTGTGAGCGGCACAAGATAAACAATGTACTCTAACACATTCAGCTGAAATCTGATTGGCACAACTGTTACGTTGCTAAGGGAATCCCATGCTTGATTACTTCATTCCGCATGGGTTATGTAAACACGCAAACAATCAATCATAAACTCAAATCACAGCCATGTCTACGAAACAAAAGCGGTCTGCTCTCTCAATAAAGGATAAGCAAATGAATCTTTTGCCAAATGCTTGTCCTGGATGGAAGGGCCAGAGCAATATTGACCCAATCCAAATACATGTAATGCAGCTTCAACAAATGTAATGCAGCTTCAACAAATGATGGACTTCGCTATGCAATCACTA